ATTTATGTTTCTTGAATGGGCAGAATCGTACGTAATGCCAATCACCACATAACCAACATGCAGTCATGCGTTTGCTACCACTTGTTTTCGGTTTCTGAACTTTTAACCTCGTAATAGCATTAACACTACTGAAGGTTAAATTAGGATTTACCTGTTCAATCAACTGATTGTCATGTCTGATGTTCTGTAGCCGCTTACACTCATCTGTTAACGTTCTGAGTGTGATGTTAGGATCTTGATCCAAACGAGTTAAAAGTCTGGTTCTAATCTCAGCATCTTGTGGTTACTGGAGAGCTTTGATGAATATAAGACATTTAAATTGATCTTCTGTCAACGAGCGTAACTTAAACTTTTCACATTCTTTGTTGACGATGTCTGCTGGAACACCATATTCATCGGCTTCTCGTTTCACCAAATTAAGACACTGGTAGCGAATACTAAACAATGAGGAAGATTCACCGAATATTTCTGACAGCTGAGATACTGTCTCCTCGAAACTGAGCTCTCGAGGTAACTTTGGTAATATATGATCAGCATAGCGTGCATGTTCATGACTTTCCAACTTGCGCATCAACAGTCGAGTCTTCCATGCGTCGTCTTGATTACAGAACTCTATTCTAAATGTGTCTTCCAAACGCTTGAACCACGTGAGAAATGTATTGGCACATTCGGAGTCATAATAGAATTCTGGGATGTTGCTGGCAACTGCATCACAAGAAGAATTACTTGAAACAGCATGTGAACTCGAGTAGTGTATGCTAAGCTGTTGCGTCAGAGTTTCTAACAGGCGCATTTATGCGTCAAGTTGTGCTTGCTGTTGTTGTAGTATTCGGCTGAGCTGGTCATCTGATATAGGCATTTTGAATGAATTTTCCTTTTCCTCGTCGCCACTGTCATAATTGTATTTTTTTGCTATATAAACGACCCAGCTATTCCTATTGCTTAGTATTCTTAAACGATGACACTCAACAAGACCCCGAAATCAGAACACGTTGAACAGGAATCAAATTGTATTCAAAATAATAATGGTATGTGAACAGCAATCAGCAATCAATAGTTTAAATATCGTTCATATATTTATAGTATATGCATAAGAAGCTTATAGATTTTTCAGCAATAATATGTCCGGGCTAATCGGTTTAAAATTAACCAATCAGCGCGCAGCAACACCATTGTGCATAAAACATGCTTAATCCTATCTATATCCCACTAACAAAAGCACATGCCGTACCGGCGGACACTGATTGCCAACTGATTAAGTGTGGATTGCATGCCTTGGGCATTATCGCACAGTAAGACAATATCATCCGCATACTCGAGGTCGAGAAGTCGTTCTCCAGGCAACATATCCACACCGCCATTACTTACATCCATCAGAGCTGTTTCCAGGATGTCGTCGATAGCAAAGTTGAAGAGGAATGGTGAGATTGGTCAACCCTGCCTAACCCCACTGCTCGAATGGAACAAGGGAGAAAGGTGGTTGTATGCCCTCACTCTGCGTGAGGTGTTCGTATACAGGGCCTTTAAGATGTTAATGAACTTCTCAGGCACACCCTTCTTCAATAGACAATCCCAGAGAACAGTCCTGTCCAACGAATCGAAGGCAGCCCTGATATCAAGAAACACTACGATTGTTGGCCTGCGATAAGTATGACGGTGTTCTAACATTTGGCGGAGGGTGAAGATGTGATCAATGCATCCTCGACCAGAACGAAAACCAGCCTGCTCCTCGCGAGTCAATCGTTCTCGGGTTTTAAACAACCTACGAAGAATGACAGAAGCCAATAGTTTGGACGCAATCGGAAGTAGACTTATCCCCCGATAGTTATTTCAGGAACAACGTGAACCCTTTTTAAAGATAGGGACGACTATTGACTCATTCCATGATGTTGGAACACTTTCTTGCTCCCAAACCTTTGCCCCCAAATGCCCTGGTACGACCGAGAGTGGGGAGAGTCTACTCTCCCTCTCCAAATGATCTTACATGGCCACGCGAATATATAGCCTCTGACAGGGAAGTCCTACTCACTGCCTTCTCGTGGTGGGGGTGTTGTTTACGAAAGTGAGAGGACGAAAAGCGAATGTCCGGCGCTTTAACCGGGTTGGTGGACACGGAGGATCCGCCTCGGGGAGTTAGAAAACCCTGATTCCAAAACAATGGTTCACATGGGCCCCAGTATCCTGATGGAACGAATGGCGAATGAACCTGTTGTTGAACACCGGATACCGTGGGTCTGCATCTTCTTACCATGCTCCACTGCCTTGTGGATCAGACCTTTAGGTCAAAGGCTCGGGGTGTGGCTTCCTAAGAAAACCACCTGCTTCGGTTTGAGCACCCGGAAGTATCACAGCTCGCACACAAATGAAATGAAATGACGCGCTACACTAACCACGCTGCCCTCGTTCTTAATAGAAGAAAGACAATTTACAGTATTATTATTATTATTACCATTATTATTATTATCATTATTATTGTGGTGTGGTCTACTTATATCTATATAATTAGTATATGGTGTGGGTCAGACATAGAATGTATTTTCGCAGAAGACCGATGACGAAAGAACTGAAATGAAGCGCAATCGTTTGGAAAATGCATGAGCAATGGAATAAGAGAAGAAACAGTGAAGATTGAAACAATTAGTTGTTAATTTGCAAATTGACTGTTCATTGTTTGGTAATCAGAATTTAGTGAGATAGTCTGTAATGTTTGCTTAAATACGTTCGATTGTCCCCTAGTCGTGTTCTGTTCATTACATTATTACTATTACTAACTTCTGAAAACAAACTAGACACTTATTGTCTTTGACTATCATACTCCCGTGAGTGAATGTATGTCGCGACCAATTTATTTTCAATCAAGACGAAATGGAACTGAAGTCGTTAGTTGTAGTGTGAAGATCAATAATATGTAGATCATTAAAAGAGAATGTTGTAAAAACACTAATAAGCGTTTTTAATAGATGATAATAGTGATGAATGGAATTGAAAGGCTGTCAACTGTTTAATACACAATTAGTAAACAAATTTTCATCTAAGTATTCCCATAAGTTATTTTAACACATAGTTTATTCGGTAATGGTTTTGTGGAGATTTCAGTATTTTTCAAAGTTGAAATCATGAGGCAATTGAAGCTAGACCACCATGGAAAACCTGGTCTACTGGTTAAGGGCTCTGGCTCGAGACTGGTAGGTCCTGGGTTCGAATCCCGCGAGTGCGGGATCGTGGATGCGCACTGCTGAGGAGTCCCGCAGTAGGACAAAACGGCCGTCCAGTGCTTCTAGGTTTTTCATGGTGGTCTAGCTTCAATTGGCTCATGACTTCAAATTTGAAACATAGTTTATTATTTTAATAAACGTTATATGCGTGTAATCGCTGGTCGGTGTCTTGTGCTCCATTGGAGGGTAACAGGCGTAAGTAAGTAAGTAAGTATATGCGTGTAAACATATCAATAAATGATCATGATAAAATAATGAATAAGGCATATATTAATCACGGTTAATTCATGATAGGCGTTAATTGTTTATACCTGTACATTGTAAATTCTATGTCGTTGAGCAGTTTATAATTATGATCGAAAAATTTACTTCATTGTGTATGCAGTCATGTAAAACGGATGTTATGTTTGTTAAGTGGGTGCTAGATCTTTTTTTCATGTAATGTCAACAGTAAATTTTTTATTAGTCTTCCGTCTGACCAAATGATTATCTTAATTTTTTTTAATGTCAAACCCGAAATAGATAAACGTTACAAAAATAACCATTTTTGACAATCATTTGGTATATTGGTTGTATTAAGTGTAAATTAATAGGCCTACATCTGACAAACATTGCTTTAAGTCGATTATACTGTTAAATACGAAGTGAATGTGTGTTCACTTCAGTATTAGTGTGTACAGTAGGATAGAATGTGATGATACGGCATTCAGTTTTCAACGTAAAAAACACACGAACAGATGATGGGATTACGAAGGACTGTGTAATCGCCTGTAGAGTCAACAGACCTGAACAAATCCTCCGACATTACAACCTCAATCACAGGAGTACGCAAGTGCCATTACAGTAGTTGTCATGCAGCTGGTGTAAGTCTCTCACATATCTGCACAAATTCATATCCAGAGCTACAACCTAATACAAATATGGGTTCTCGTTATTGGTTTTGTAGGTCTCATCAAAACAAAAAACAGCAAGAAAACCATTCGACAAATTCATTTGGTCTACAATGGTGAAGAAGAAATACAACAGACAATTATCTTCATCCAATTGGTAATTACAAAGCCCACCAAGTGAAATGATGTGACCTTTCAGTTTGACGTAATCACTTAACGTTAACAATATAACTACGCACATTGCTTACCAGGAAGATTGACCTGTGAGAACACTTTGGGGCGCATATTAAAAACATCTTGAGCATTCAGGCGCTTTCCATAATATTGGTTGAATGTTGCTGTCCCAGATATCAAAAGTGACCTCACTATTTTAAATTCAACCTCCGTTAACCTGCGCATCTAAGAATAACTGTCCAATGGATTTCGCTGATTTCGAGTATTGCTAATTTGCATCATCTCATTTCCATTGCTATTTGATTAGTCTTTCCGGTCTCCCACATTGTCCGGTTGTTCAGTGTACCTATAAAGAATGTTGCTCTGGTTGTTGGAAGGGGCATTGGCCTCGTTACATCCAAAGGATCTCGACTTTCAACATGAGGCATCAGAATTCTTCCTTCAACTCTCAGAGCAGAGTTTAAATGGTTTGAATTATTTTTTTCTGGTCAGTGATAGTATAACTGAAGTAAAATACATAAATCTTATAGGAAATCTGAATGACTTAATCAAATTCTTGTCATAACATTGTATTTCAAAATTATCGATTAAACATCGATTGATCAAATATACGATTTTACTTCAAACATGATCTTCAATTTCAAAATTATCGATTATATTAGATTGATCCAATATAATTTTTTATCATTTTAAATTTTAGCATCACTATAAATAGTTTTTCTAATTGACATTATCTATGAACATAATAAGAGAACAATATCAGTAGTATAAATTTGTGAAAACAACAAAATGCGAATGATCACATTCATAAAACAATATCTCATTCATTATACAATCATGAATTCATTCATTATCTTAGAATTATTATTATCATTATATACTACTGATAGTAGTAAACTAAAAATATGTAATTTTAATATCTCTATTATCAAAACTAATAAATCCTGTACTATTGAACGGATCAAAGATGCTGGGAAACGGCATAAATTTTTATTATTTAATTCAAATGATATAAACATCAAATTTCATTTATATTGTCCAATATGTCAAAATGAACAATTAGATACATTTGAATGGCAATATATACCACATTATAAGAGATATCAAATATTTATAAAAGGTAATAAAACTTTATATGAAAATGATTTAATGCTTAACAACAAGCTCTTAGAGACTATTCAAGATAACCCAGAGAATAATCTTTGTATTCACAAAAGGAATTTCCAATTAATTGGTTATAATAATATAAATGCTAATCAATATATGGGTACATATGTATGTAGAAATTTATTAGATTCAATGCATCCATCTAATTTTATATGGTATCATTTATATAGAATTCATTCATATAAACAAAATTCAAAAGTTTTATTTCAAATCAACCGCACATTCAATCATTCTATTCAAACAAAAAAATTTTTACAAAAACAAATTAATATTACTGAATTATATTATAATACTACTGAATTAATGGATTATTCTTATTTAAATATATTGAATATAACATTTAAATTCAATGAAGTAAATGAGATTGAAAAAGAAGGCGGTAAAATTAAAATTAAACAATATCAACGATGTTATATTAAAATATTATTATATGAATCTGAATTTAAACAAACTATAAATAGCCCTAGCAACAACAACAACAACAACAACAACCACCACCACAACAACAACAATAATAATGATTATGAAAGGATAGAAATCAATAAAATATTAAGATTATCATTTGAATATTTTATTAAATTATATCAATTAAAATTAAATAATTCATATCAATTAGCTATAAATAAAGCTAAATATTTCGGATTTCAATTAGATATTACTAATAATTATATTTTGTTACCATGTGAATATGAATTTATACAACATTTATTTATACCAATTATAAATAAATTTCCATTATATAGTCGTTATATAGAATTGAATTATGAATATCCATTTGAACCAATGAATTTAACCAAATTGATTCATTTAAATAAATTAAAATATGAAATGTTGAATCAAACAAAAACGTTTATCATTTCATCAACTCAACATTATCATAAGAATAAGGATGATTATCATCATATACCAATATATAATATATATCTAAATGAATATCATCAATCTTTAATATTGAAATGTGATAATTCAAATAAAATAAAAAAACAATTAAATTGTACAAATAAAATGAATCCTAATGCATATTGGATATTATCATCATCATCATCATCATCGCCGCCGCCGCCGTCGTCGTCGACGAAGAATAACATGAACTATATAGTGAATATAGAAAAGTCAAGTTCACCTTATATGACAAATGATTGTGAATTAAAATTTGATATTCTTCATAGAAATCATAATGGTACTTATTATTGTTATATGAAAAATTCAACTTTTAATATAACTACTCAACAAGATAAACCAATTATAGTTTATCATTTATATATACAAAGAGTAAATGATCATTTGCCATTACAAAATAACATAATCATTGGGATAATCATTTTAATTATATGGTCATTTATATTAATAATGATTTGGATACTTCTTCATGATTGTATAAACTATGTAAAGCAAATAGGATTGAATTATCACTTTTGAAATGGCATACATCAATAAAAGTATATTCATGTATTCAAGTGTTTTCAAGAAGATAGCATCTGAAGAAGGTTTGATTTGTTCAAATAACAGTGTCAGAATGTTTTGCGTGTTTCTCCCTCCAAATTCTAAAAGTTACCTTGAAATAAGTCTGCATCACTGCGTAAACCAATTATAAAAAATGAAGTAGTCGAGCATGTCGGTCAATTCATTTGTCTCAGAAGTTTCATCAGTCCTAATGGGCCGATATCTAACAAAAGCTTGGTATGGATTTAGTAAGTTCAACTGGCTCTTATCACCTTACGATATATCCATCTGCCAATTAGAGGATGGGTATACTGGGCAACATCCGATTCCGTCCTACTTTACGACTGTAAAATGTGGCTTTTAACATACATGATATCCGTGGGTTACTAGCATACAATCAAAAATCTCGTGTATTTCGGAACCATCGGGTTAAAAGTGCTATGTGTAGATATAGAGCATAAGATAAAGATGACGAGTCGATTGATGAGGTTGTGTTTATCGACAGACTGTTCTGGTATATATTACGTATGGCGACTTAGACTCGCGGTGATCGCTGGTGTTGGAGTAGGTAGGAAGCTATTTACAGGAAAATCAAGATATGGTATTAAACTATAGAGTCACTAACTATTAGATCGAGTGATACAGGTTGGTACAGAGCACTTACTTGGGCCCCATGAGATTATAGTAACCCATGTTTGGGAAGCTTGGATGGCACTGCTCAGATTCGTTCGTAATGAAGCAAGTGGGTTTCTTTGTTATCTTCCTTAAGATCATGCTTTTCAAAATTATTTTGAGTTTTTCGTTCTGTTGATTTAATTATTCTAGTGGCTGGTCCACAAAGCCATCTCCAAATCCCCATATACCTTACACAACTACTTTCGATCCAAACTCCAGAAAGTATTCTCTTTTAATTATTACGGCCTCGGTTACAGAGTTACTAAGAGAACAGCAACCACGTATTTCTGTTGTGGTTGTTTTGTCACTGCGTCTGGTTTTCATTATTATAGCTATCATCAAGTCTTCAATCAACAGTCCGAAACAGTAGATATATTTTTCATTAAGTTGTACGATAAACAAAGGCTTCAAAATGTCTATTATTACTACTTTGATGTTTGCTGGTTTTGATCTTGGAAATTAAAAAGAATTCGTATCTAAATATATATTGAACAGGGATGGAATTGAAATGATGAGGAGTCATTAAAAAAATATAAAACAATGAGGTACACCAATACGAAATGTCCGACTAACTACTGAGAACTAGATTAAACTAAACGATAACTTATTCGTATGAATTACAAACAGTTCATTATTATTATTGGCTTTATTCAATATTATATTTTTGACACAATATAGAATTCTCAGCACAATGTATTTCAACAAGTTTTCGTCCTTAATTCTTGATCGATCCTGACGAAAAATATTGGATGATCATCAGTTAGGAGTTAGCAATATACTCAATCGAAATCTAAATGATGTACTATTGTTTCGCTGCATATTACTCGCAACCGTGATATCTAGAATCGCGCCTTTGTAACTTGTACAATGAAAATTTGTATATCTTTCAGAAACGCAACTGAATCGGTTATGCGATTAATAGCCATAATGATGTATTAAAACAAGCAAAATTAGATAACTTGTTGAAATATTTAGATGACAGAAACAGGTAGCCCAGATGTATAAACAGGCCCCCCAAATTCATCTACAATGAAATAATCCCAATCAATGAATCTTTTACATAAACCAATGATCTTTATATTATTTGTGAAAGTTATATTTGAAATAATCTCAAAGATTGAAATTTAATTAATTTCAATATTTCATCAAGAAAACTTATCTGAACTTCTTATCAAGTGTGTAATAATAAAAATGCCCCCCAAATGCCCTGGTACGACCGAGAGTGGGGAGAGTCTACTCTCCCTCTCCAAATGCTCTCACATGGCCAGCGAATATATAGCCTCTGACAGGGAAGTCCTACTCACTGCCTTCTCGTGGTGGGGGTGTTGTTTACGAAAGTGAGAGGACGAAAAGCGAATGTCCGGCGCTATAACCGGATTGGTGGACACGGAGGGTCCACCTAGGGGTGTTGAAAAACCCTGATTCCAAACCAATGGTTCACATGGGCTCCAGTATCCTGATGGAACGAATGGCGGAAGAACCTGTCATTGGTCAATGGCAACCATGGGACTGCATCTTCTCACGATGCTCCACTGCCTTGTGGATCAGACCTTTAGGTCAAAGGCTCGGGATGTGGCTTTCTAAGAAAACCACCTGCTTCGGTTTGGGCACCCGGGCAGTATCACAGCCCACACACAAACAAATGAATGAAATTATGAACTCTATTGACGATAATATCCCTGCTCATACTAAAAGCAAGACAATTAACATTATTATTATTACCTTTATTATTATTATTATTATTATTATTATTATTATTATTTACCATATCGCTAACTCACCCCCCTTTATCCCCAATTTGTGTAACCTTACTTTTCAACTTATGCAGCAGCTCGCCCATGGTGGAAAATCTGTCCTATCTAAACGATCTCCAGTCACTGTCTGGTTGAAAGTGAATGCTTCCACCAATAATGAATACTGAAGCAGTCTTTCTGAAACCACGTACGCCGTTCAAGCTGGCTTCCTTCAACGTTCGCACACTAATGCATATCAGACAACAGGTAGGGCTGGCTATGTTTTTGGAAGGTCTTAATGTTGATGTTTGTTGTCTATCCGAGGCCCGTATTCAAGACTCTAGTGAAGTACTACAAATCCGCTCTCCATCTGTCGCCTCAAAAAGCTTGTTCCACGTGCGCTTATCCGGGGACCCTGTGGCATCTTCGTCTGGTCTTGCTGGCGTTGGCGTCGCACTAAGCGCTAGGGCTGAGGCAGCACTAATCGATTGGATCCCCATTAACAGTCGGTTATGTGCTGTTAGATTAGAAAGTTCCATCAAAGTGAGAAGAAATCGGCGTGAGAAACGATGTCTTTTCGTCATCTCCGCCTATGCCCCGACAGATTGCAGCCCGGATGCAATCAAGGATGAGTTTTACCATCAGTTAACAGTTCTTCTCCAGAAAGCGCGTTCGACAGATATTGTAGTACTAGCCGGAGACTTGAATGCACAGGTCGGGCGTCTAGGCACAGAAGAGAGTCGTCTAGGTGGCCGATGGGGACTTGTTGGTCGCAGGACAGGTAACGGTGACCGTTTGCTGCAACTGTGCACAGACCACAACCTGTTTCTGGCTAGCACTAACTTCCGGCACAGTCATCGCCGGTGTGCCACCTGGCGTCCTCCCTCTGCATCTCAAGCCTGGACTCAGATTGATCACATCGCGATCAGCTACCGCTGGCGTGGTTGTGTACAAGACTGCCGCTCCTTTTGGAGTCTGATCATGCCCTGGTCTGCGCCAATCTCACCTTACTTTTCAGTGGCCGAAGGATTGACCACCACCAACGGATTGATGTTGGTAAACTGGCTACAACTTCTGTTGCAAGTAAGTATCGAGCGGAGCTAGCCTCTAGGCTAGCTACCACCCCACCGAAAAGTATAGATGAGCATTGGTTGCTTCTTCACGACGCCATGAAAATGGAGAGTAAAACCGCTTGCGGATTCGCGAAACGTCCAGCTTACAAGCACTGGGTTTCTTCTGGCTCTTTATAACTGATGGAATCCCGTCGGTCTACTCCGGGTGACCGTGAGTTTGACCACAAACGAAGGCTGTTACGTAATGAAATTGGGCAAAGCTTGTGTAAGGACCGGGAAGCCTGGTGTTCGGAGCGTGCTAATGAGATGGAAGCAGCAGCTGCATCTGGTAACTGCCGGAAGCTCTTCCAACTCATCCGAGCCACTGGCAGCAAGAAGTCTGGCGTGAGTGAAACAATCTACTAGGATGATGGGATGCCAATCACTAACATCTGTCGACGTCTTGGACGATGGGTGGAATTTTTCGAAGGGCAGTTCAACTGGCCTGCTGCTCCGGCAACATCAACCAGCTTGTCCTGCCCCCCATGACCGGTGACGACTGATCCACCAAACGAGACGGAAGTCCTCAAGGAACTCCAACTCTTGAAACGTTATAAATCACCTGGCCCAGATGACTTACCTCCGGCTCTTTTTAAAGATGGTGGTGACTTTCTGGCTAAGGAACTGACTGCGTTGTTTGGAAAGGTTTGGAAGCAAGAAAGTGTTCCAACATCATGGAATGAGTCGATAGTCGTCCCTATCTTTAAAAAGGGTTCACGTTGTTCCTGTAACAACTATCGGGGGATAAGTCTACTTCCGATTGCGTCCAAACTATTGGCTTCTGTCATTCTTCGTAGGTTGTTTAAAACCCGAGAACGATTGACTCGCGAGGAGCAGGCTGGTTTTCGTTCTGGTCGAGGATGCATTGATCACATCTTCACCGTCCGCCAAATGTTAGAACACCGTCATACTTATCGCAGGCCAACAATCGTAGTGTTTCTTGATATCAGGGCTGCCTTCGATTCGTTGGACAGGACTGTTCTCTGGGATTGTCTATTGAAGAAGGGTGTGCCTGAGAAGTTCATTAACATCTTAAAGGCCCTGTATACGAATACCTCACGCAGAGTGAGGGCATACAACCACCTCTCTCCCTTGTTCCATTCGAGCAGTGGGGTTAGACAGGATTGCCCGATCTCTCCATTCCTCTCCAACTTTGCCATCGACGACATCCTGGAAACAGCTCTGATGGATGTAAGTAATGGCGGTGTGGATATGTTGCCTGGAGAACGACTTCTCGACCTTGAGTATGCGGATGATATTGTCTTACTGTGCGATAATGCCCAAGGCATGCAATCCGCACTTAATCAGTTGGCAATCAGTGTCCACAGGTACGGTATGTGCTTTGCACCCTCCAAGTGCAAGGTACTCCTACAAGACTGGCAGGATTCTCATCCTGTACTCACCCTGAATGGTAAGCAGATTGAAGTAGTTGAGAAGTTCGTGTATCTAGGTAGCTACATAAGTGCTGGTGGTGGCGTGAGTGATGAGATTGATGCACGTATAATGAAAGCCAGAGCGGCTTATGCCAATCTGGGCCATCTTTGGCGCTTTCGTGATGTTAGTCTGGCTGTAAAAGGTCGGATCTACAACGCGTCGGTGAGAGCAGTTTTGCTCT